ATGAGAAAGGGCATCCAGAAGAACCTACACTGCATCAGATCAAGCATTTTGACAGAGAGGTCGTCAACAGAACAAGCCTCCTTCTTCACAGAAGGAAAAAAATCACTATTATATTATCTAGCTACAGAAACTCTGCTACACAGATCTCCATAAAGCACTGCTATTATGTAGAGGGAGGATTTGCTGAAAATTATAATATGCACACACTGCAAAAATAACAGTCACTTACGGGTGTTTCCTGCAACTGTGAATGCAAATAGCGCTGCGACCGTTTCACAACAGAAACATCAGATCCCATGAATGGAATTGAGTATTGTTTGAACTCCTGACTGTAAAACACAAGTCCTCTGCAAATAGAAAGAACATTCACCAAAACTGTTCAGGTCTTCACCAAACGGAAAGAAACAAACCATACAGTGCTACCATTGCTGACTTTCCCTCAAGCACTTCTACAACATGATCTCTTCACTGAAAGCAAATCAAATCAGTGAATCAGATTTATCCCTGGCTCAACTCATAATTCCTTGAACTACAGCCAGGATGGATTTGATAATCAAAATAAATAAGATTCTCACACCTAATTTTCCTGTTCTGCTGATCACTTCTGAAATGAAAGAAAGAAAGTTGCCACATCTCTACAAGTCTTCCAGAATAAGTTAACTTTGAGACCCAGAAAATGCTAACATGTTCTTTTACAATCAAATATGAATTCAGTACCTTCAGTTCTACCAGACAAACATGTATGTGTGTGCAGATTTTAAAAAGTCCTAGATGTACCTTTTAACATTTAATAACATGTTAATAATCTATGTAATAAGTAATGGAACTCTTGTTTCACATCGTAAGCTTCTTATACCTTCTTTTAAGTTTCGCACCAACTACTGGCACAGGGGAATATCCAATCTTCTTTCGAAGTGCCTTCAGGTTGTTTTGATCTGCCAGGCCATAAACAGCTGACTTCCAGGTCCCATCATGTATGCAAGAACCCTGATAAAGGCCAAGGAGCAGTAATTAGTTCAGTAAAGGTTTCAGATATTATTTTAATAATGACCTTGGAATCATTATGTGGTATTAGAAAATTATTACGTGTGTGCATTATGATTACGTGCACTGTGAAAACAACCCAAACACAAAAAGACAGCCAAACACTTCGCCAACACACATGCATCCATTACAGCTTATTTGTGTACGAATCCTTCCCAAGTCTCTGTGCAAATAAATCAACAACAAATACTACCTATTATTTCTTGGAACTGCGTAGTACAAGAAATTTTAGGTAGACAGCAAGCCCACTGAAACAAATGTTACCAAAGGGTGCTTCCTTGGGTACTTTTATTAGCTCCTAAAGAATCAAGTTCTTAGACTCGTAAACAGAGAACTGCCATAGCTCACGCCTTGATGTGCACTAATGCAACAACAGCTATTCATATTAGCTATGCCAATGTTGCCCCAAATACCCCTGAGTTTCCACAAGGGTATCAACCAACTAACCTCAGGTCCAGATTCTACTGACAGGAAACTTTCGACAGCAGTTAAGGTACCTTTGAAAGAGGAGAAAACAGGAAAGGTAATTACTTGGGACATACAGTCAGGTTTGTTCACACACCTAGAGCATACTCTGGTAGCCTTAAATGGTAGGCCAGCAACATCACAAGTTGAAGAGTTACATCGTTATCTCAAAGTAAAATAAACTAGGATTAGGATGCAAAGCTATTTTAGTTAGCAGATATAAAATTTCATACATAAAGTACTTCAGTCACTTCACTTGAGACAATTAATATTGTCGTTGGTCATTAAATGCTAGTTGCTTTATCTAGGTAATAAGTTTGTGTAAATAATAAATGAAAAAGCAAAAGAATATTTTAAAGGCAGAATTATTTTTCCTCCAAGCTTCGAGATAAAGAATGATGTAGGCTGTGAAAACCTAGATGAACTGATGGGAGTGTGGTAAATGTTACTACAAAAACAAAACAAAACAAGTAAATTTAAAAAAAGAAAAAAAAAAATCACACAACATATCCTAAACCAAGGGTTTCTTAGTTGTGATAAACAGCAAAACAAAAACTCCACGTTTTGTTTAGCTCTACTTTGCTCACCTCCTTCTGAGCTTGAAAGAGATAATTTAAATCTAATAGGCAACTGGATAGACAGGTGATAAAACCAGAAAGTCAAAACAGGATGAGCTAAAAGACATCTTTATTCAAAAAGCATCAAATTTATTCACATATCCAATTATAAGACTGTGAGACTCCAGATACTCATTTCCACACCTCTTCTCTTCCCCAATCAGGTCCTTCTACAGATTTAGTTTTATTAAACTGAAAGTTGATGATACATTCCAGCATAAAGCATGTAATAGCAATTGCAATAGTAATGAAAGTAGAACATTTGGACACTCCTACTGGCCCTTCCAACTGAAAGTCTGAGCCAATGAACAAAGTATCCTCATTTGGCTTAGGATCAAGTTTGCATAGAGTTAAATCATCTCACACCTTTTCTCAAACATATTTACTGAGTCCAAGTGCTCTTGACAAAAAGATACTAGCAGTACTACCTACCTAGGTCCATATGACAACTACTCAGTGCTGGCAGTAGAGAGACAAAACTTAGGAAACCTGATTACTCACAGATTTGCAATCCCTTCCCCACGTGCACTGTGCCTTCCTGCCTCATCCTTGCAGCATTCTCACTGCACAAGTGGCAGAGAGCTGAGGATGGTCTATGTGTGGATGCCCACACGCTCGCAGAGCGGCCCAACCCTGATAGCTGAGGCTCCTGTTTTCTCAGTGAGCAACACGACCTTGAATTCTTCCTCTCCCTTATCACTAATTTTCTTGACTCTAGTGGGAATACGATTTACATTTTATTTTTTATCTATCTACCAAATTTGGTTGCAACTGGTTAATTGGTAAAGGTAGGCAAAAGGCAGATTGAAAGACTTCCCCCAGAAGCACTGCTGTTTTACCATAACCTGCATGTCTTTTTCAGCCTGTAGTCCCGCTAAACAAGTCACCTTTCAACTTGTCTCTGGTGTACAGCACTCCCATATCAGCTGGTATGGAGTCAAAGCCACAGCTTCCAATGATATACGCTTTCTTCTCTGCAGCTTGTTCATTGTATTTCAGGTACATTCCTTCCAGAAACTAAAACACAAGCAGAAAAAAAATACGTAGAACCCCAAATTTGGCAATACCCAGTATTAACCACCAGCACTGTACTCTCATATCACAGCACCCTACAGACTTCACTTTACTCACAAGTATCTTTACAACAGATGCATGTTATTCATGTTTTATGGTATGAAAATGTTGCAGCAGTGCAAGAAGAAAATGACTGATCCAAAATTCATGCAGAGAATCTTAAGTAAGATTTAAAGCAGGATTCAAACACTTTGGAATTACTGAGAATAAGGTCCTGAGAAAACTCTTATCTAACAGCAATTAAACAAATAATACACATAAACATATCCTAAAAAAATCAATGCGCCTTAGAACTGCAGATTGGGAGGCAAAATTTGCCCGCATATGCAGACACAGAAACATGGAACACAACAAACAAATGCTTTACTAGGTCCCTAACGCAGAGTAGCATTTTTCCAAGCTCACATACCTGGGGCTCTCCACTGATGTCAATGCAGCTTGCACCATTTTCCACACAAGCTTTCACTACAGGCTCTCCGAAAAATCTATACTAAAGGAGGGAAAAAAACACCACAGGTAACAAAATAAAGCTCACACAACTCACCCAACTTGTTTTGTCTAAAGTATGTGTACCTACAACAGAAGTAAGCCTCAGGTGTTGATTTTGCTAAGTGAGGCAAATGTAATAACCTTGTCTAGGTAGGGGGGAAGGGGACAGGAAGAGCAGAACAAACTGCATCACTGATAACAGTTATTCCTCCTGAGTTAAGATCACCAGAGCCAACTGCACCTTGCAGTTAGCTAAAAAAAACAAGCACCTTGCAACGCTACCTCAGCTTTCGCAGAGCTGGTCAATACCCAGCCAGCAGGCTTCATACTTCGATCTGCTCAGGCCCAGTTGGTGACATTGTCACTCCAAAGTTTAAAGCGGCCAAGAACTTACACCACAACTCTACGTGCTTCTTCCCTTTCCAAAGCCAGGCAGTCTGGTCTGCTGCTTGATGACCCTGCAGATAGCAGGGGGGTTGAAACCAGATGATCACCTTGGTCCTTTTCAACCCAGGCCATTCTGTGGTTCTGTGATCCCTCAGCATTACTTCCAACCCGAACACCACTTACAACGCCTAGCATAAACCAGAACTTCTCTCTGGCTTACAAGTGATTTCTTACGGTGCCTTTCAACGATGAAAAGAATAAAACCTAACTCTTCAGCGAGATCTTTCCACGCATTACAACACCCGAAAGGTTGGCGGGTCACCGTCGCACGGCAGATCCCAGCACTCACCGGGCCCACGCAGTTGAGCACTACCCGGGTCTGCTTCGCCATAGCGGCCAGCGACGCCGGGTCGCCCACATCGCACAGCAGCACGCCGACCTCCGGACCCAGCGCCGCTTTCCCTGCGTACGAAGACCGCCGTCACATCCCCCGCTCGCTGGCCCGGCCGCCGGCCGCCGTCCCCCGCCCCGCCCCGCTTCCCCCCGCGCCACACGGCCGCAGTCCGTACCGAGCCGCTCGGCCGCCCGCTCCAGCACCTCCTGCAGCTTGTTCCGGTTGCGCCCGGCCACGGCCCAGCGCAGGGGGCCGCGCAGCTCTCCGCCGCTCGCCGTCCGCGCCACCTCCTCCACCACGAACTGCCCGGTAAAGCCGCTGGCCCCGAACACCACCAGCTCGTAAAGCCGCTCGGGCGCTTCCTCGCTGCCGGCCGCCATGGCGAGGCTATGAGGCGAGACGGGACGCAGCGACGCGCTGCACTGCCGCTCAGCGCCTGGCAGCGGCCGGCACCACGCGGCCCCGCCCCACGCCCAGCTCGAGGGGCGGCCGTTGGCGCCCGACGGTGTGCTTAGCGGCCCAGCGCCGTTGCCAATAGCCGACATGCGCGTTTCAGGTCGGCCCTGCTGATGAACTGAGAGCTGGTGCTGATCAGAAAGGAAAGCGTAATTTCCTACAGGTAAAATGCATTCGGTTTCGTCACAAATGACAACAAGTAGTTGCCCGGTGAGGCTGCGGATGCTCCCTCCCTGCCGTACCTAAGTCAGTCCTGAGAGAGGCCTGTGAGCCTGAGCCCCACAGTGACGGAAGCCTCACACCACTCCCCAGGCCGTGTCCTCCAGCCCTGGTGGCTGTATCACTGGGAACACAAACCTGCATCTCCACATCCTCTAAGTTCAGCCCCTGCTATGGATGGTGCTGTGTGAAGCCAGGAGTTGGACTCAATGATCTTCATGGGTCCCTTCCAACTCAGTATATCCAATGATTCCTCTTCCCAGAAGACAGACATTGAGAAAAGATTTCATTCCTGAGCAGTATATAGGAAGAAAATGCTGCTAAGCTGGAAACCTCCATGCTTTTCAGCTTTCCCTAGGTTAAAAGCACTTATTCTTTTCATCTTTCCTCACAGCTTGCTTCACACATCTACTTTTCTTCTTGTTTTCCCAACTCTCTGCAGCTGGTTTGCCTTTTTCTTGAAACTTGGTGTCCGTTGCTAAGCCCCACGTTAACTTTCCCAGGTCTAAATTGATTAAAAAGGCGATGTGATGTGCCAGAACTGATCACCATCTCTGCGTGCCCAAACATTTGCCTTTTCTCTGTGAGCGTCCCACTGCTGGTGCACATTCAGCTCATTGCCAGTTTTACCTCCAAGGCTCTTTCTGCTTTATCTTTGTCTTTTCCCACGTTGGATTGGTGGTGAAGGTTGACGTCCTTCCTGAATACATTTTGAACATTCCATCTCCCGAGGCATGGGAGATCCTCACTCCAAGCACTGGCTCCACTCCTCGACTTGTGCTGATGCTGTAGTTCGTAGGCCTACGCTATCAGCTGTGTCAATGAAACAACTCAGTCTAACAAAAAACAAAGGAGAAGGGAAAGGGAGGACAAAGATGGGTTTTGTGTTTTTTATTAATGCAGATCATTTTGGTGATCTGATTTACAGAGCAGCATGCAAAACCAGTTTCTTGTTTGAGGTCACTGAACATCTCACTGGGCGAGCTGGTTTCTCGCTATCATTTTGTCCTTCCTACACATTGGGATAACTTCCAACTGTGCTCTTAATACAGCCTTAATTTTTCTCTCCTTCCAATTCTCAAAATAAAGACTATTTTCTTTGAAGACAATGTCTTCAGTTTTCCACTCTTCCCCTTTGCAAAAGCTTTGACAATAAGTTGCAACAGTAAGAGACAGAGATTTTTCCCTATCTTGAAGTAAACAGGGCTGGCTAGGACCCTCAGTGAACCTGCTTCAGCCTTTTGCTCCAGAAACTTGCCTCTCTTTCTCTCTTGCCTTCTCTCTTTTGTCCTTTCCGTCATCCCTCTTTTACATCTCATACCCTCTCACCACCAAAAAAAAAAAAAAAAAAAAAAAAAAAAA